ATTCTACAGGTGTGTTCCACACCAGAATCCGCCTTCCTGCAGCCAAAAATCCACAGAGGTGCAGACCAGGTGCTCACAGACTAGAGATCCATCAGGATCTAAGCACAGCCTGTGCCTCCAGCCACAAACACGGTAGGGATTTCTGCTGCTGCACCTGTGGGAGCTGGATCAGCTCCTGGTGCAGATGGGGGGCTCAAAATAGCAGCAAGCCCGAGCTTTTGGAATAATCCAGGAGCAGCAGCAAGCGTCTGCCTGCTCACAGTGGGGTTTTTAACCTCATTTTGTAAAATGCAGGTCGGGCAGCTCTAGGAGGGGCCGTGGGAGACGCTGGGTTTGTGGGAATGTTGCTCCACAGGAGAACAGCAGATGGGCTGTGGTTCGTGCCACAGCAAGGTGACAGCTCTGGTTTTGGGAGTTCATCCAGGATCATGGGGCTCGTTGGAGGCCAGGGCAGGACAAAGGAGCTGGAGTCCCAGCAGGGAGGTCAGGAGGGTGGCTGCACAGGCTGGACATGGAGGGTGGTCCTGGCCACAGGAGCACACAGTCCCACAGCCTCAGCTCCTCTGAACTCCTCCCCACCACCCCAACTGGGAATTCTGTCCTTCCACTGGATGGACTGGAAGCTATCATGCTTGTGCTGAACGGCAAGGATGGAACTAAAGGAGGACTTCAAAGCTTTGAGGATGGTCTGCGAAGTGTTTCCCACAGTAACTCCTCCAAAAGGGCTGACGCACCTCCATGGCATGGAGTTTCTGCCAGTCAATGGTGTAACGAGTGCTGCCAACAGGCAAAGGGAGAGCAGGTCCCATGGGATATCCCCAGGTGCTTTTGGGCACTCAGAAGGGACAATCTCTCTTGCACAACACAGGCAGGGTGAGGATCATTTTGGTCCATGGTTATGTCACCCAGGGATGACACTCAGCGAGTCTCTGTGTCCCTGTCAGCAGGAATTTGCTGTCCTTCCCAGACAGGACCAACCCAGTGCTGGGGATCCAACTCCCCACGCGGGATGCACTGCTGGGGATGAGCCTGCCCTACAAAACATTGATTACTTTACACTCCTGACCACCACTAGGTGTTCATGCCAATATTTAATGTGTGACTCTGCTGTGTCCCTGCTCTGCCACAAGGCAAGGGAGCTCAGGGGAGGAGAGCAGAGCAAGAGCACCACCCTTGTAGAGCTCTGCCCTGCCAGAGTGGGAACAGAGGGATCTGAGCTATCCCGGAGAGCCCAGGGAGATTATCCGGGCAGGAATGGTGGGGATGGATGGATGGATGGATGGATGGATGGATGGATGGATGGATGATGGATGGATGATGGATGGATGGATGATGGATGATGGATGGATGGATGGATGGATGGATGGATGGATGGATGGATGGATGATGGATGGATGGATGGATGGATGGATGGATGGATAGATGGATGGATGGATGGATGGGAGATGGGCAGCAGTCCCAGGAGCCTCTGGAGATGCACAGGCTGGGACAGACAGAGTTTCAGATAAAGAGATGCTGCTGTCCCCCTGCTGGTCTTAGTACATGGAGAAAGGTACGAGCAGCAAAAACAGATAAACAGTGGGAGAGACAGAGCCAAAGCTGCTCTGCTTCACGTCTGGGGAGGGCATCCCCCAGGGCTGGGGAGCTCTCCCCTTCCACCACGTTATCCCAGCTCAGCATCCCCCAGGGCTGGGGAGCTCTCCCCTTCCACCACGTTATCCCAACTCAGCATCCCTGGGGCTGGGCAGCTCTCCCCTTCCAGCATGTATTCCCAATTCAGCATCCCCAGGGCTGGGGAGCTCTCCCTTTCCCACCACGTTATCCCAACTCAATGTTTGGCTGAGCACAGTCACACAAACAAGACATCCTGCCAGGCAAGGGCTCTTTGTCAGGTGATATGTGTATTCTGGGCTGTGTTTAAAATTCTGCTCACAATCCAGCGTGGCTCATATTTGCCATTTTAACACTCAGCAGGGCGGTTTAGGGTTTGAGAAACGTCAGGTCAGAAGAGATGTGACCTTTGAGACAAATAAGACCACAACCTGCAATTGTTTGTGTTAGCAGAGCCCTGCCATTAGTGTAAGCGTGTTCCAGACACAAAAAACATGCTAAGAGGAAAAAAATCCATGTGCTCAAGACAACAAGGAGCTCTCAGGAAAGGCTCTCAGGAAACCATGAGGACAGAGCTGGTTTAGACAGAGGTTTGGATCTGCTGGGTCCTTGGGGTGGTTAATTGCCCAAAGGGTGCAGGATTGCCCCCAGGCAGGGCTGTGAGGGTCCCTGCTCTGCTCAGGCTGATGCCTTGGAGCGCCCGCCTGGAACAGAGGCCAGACAAGACCGAGAGAATAAAGTGGGGGTTTATTAAAAGCACTCATGGCTACGCCTTGGGCAGCCAAAGCCTCCAGAGGCCTCACCCAAGGTGGATGAGGGTGACATCATGGCTTTTCACACAATTATAAGTTTTGTCTGTTTGCGTATCAGGGGTTAACCCTCCAATACAGCTTCAGGTAATGAAGTCACACACCCCCAGTTTGCTCCCCTCCCCCAGTTTACTTTTGTTTGTACTTTTCAGGCCCTGAGCCTGTAGGGCATCCTTGGATCTCAGGGCAGAGGGATTGTTCTGCCTGCTGAAAATGTGAAGCCAGCACCTATCACTGTATGGAGTTTAGAGCAATGCAGTAAAGCAGTATAGGATTTGAAAAATAGAAAAGATAAAATCCTAGGGCATCAGGGGGGCCCTGGGGTGGAGGGCCCAGAGCCTCAGACTCGGGATGCTCCACTGCTCTGCCTCCTGCTGCTGCCTCCTGCCAGAGCACGGAGCTCATCAATCTGAGGAAACCTTGCGGGAGAGCGGGGCTTGAAAGAGAAATAGGGAAAGGAATTGATTTCTCTGAGCCATCTCTGAAGTGCTGGACATCAAAGGCAGGGCTGACCCACACCCCATCCTGCTGCAGCCCTGCTTCTGTGGGCCCTGGCACCTGCCCTGCCACTGCAGGGATCCCCAAGAGCTGACATTATCGCAGCATCCAGCTTTCTCTGCACACTCAGATGGGCTTCTTTGCACTGATGCTCCAGCCTCCCACCCGTGAGGAACTGGAGATACAGTGGCATCTGGCACAGTTAAACACCAACACAGAGCTGCAGCCCTTGACAGCTCCTTCCACTGCACAGGCTGCTATTGAGGCAACAGGGAATTGCTTAGAAATAACAATAATTCTGCAGCAGACACGAACAGATGACTCCTACCCTGATCCCACAGTCCCTGACAGCACGATGTTCCTTAAATCAGAGACTTTCTGTCTTCATGCAGCCTGCCTCGTTTGCAGGGGTTTTCTCTGGGAGTTACCTGACTTTAAACAAACAAATCACACGTTTGACGAGCCAGGAGCCTCTTCCTGAGTTGGACCATAAATAATGAGTGAGGAAGGGAGCACAGAAAGGGCAGGCAGAGTGACAGGGACCCTGTGCTTGCTTCCTGCAGCCTCATTCCTTCTCCCCAGGCTCTGTTTCCCCACACAGCCCAGACTGATATCCAGAATAAATCAGCTCAGGATCACGGGATTGTCTTTTTGCCATCCTCTGCTGCCTCCCCTTCCACACCTCCCATCCCAGAGCGACGGGCAGGAGCCCACTGGGAACTGCAAAGTGCATTTAAACCTGTTAAATCTGCTGTACAACAACAGATCCATGGGGCCCACGGACACATCCAGCTCTAGAAAACAGATTCTGTCTCATCTCACCACACCGCACAGCGGCTTTAGCCAGAATCCAGCTGCAGACCACACCGTGGCTTTGTGTTCTCCCAGGCTGATGGAGCCTCCTCCACGTTCCTGCACTGCTCAGGAGCTCCAGCCTGGGAGGGAACCTGCACTTCACATCTGCAGCTCTGTTCAGGATCCACTGTCACCAGGGCTGTGTGTCACAGAGCCTTCTCACCCCTTATCCCTCCCTCCCTCCCTCTCACGCTGTCAGCACTGCCCCGACTGCTCACCTTATTGTTCCTCCCTGATGAGTGCCACAGCAGAGAACTCCGTGTGTCATTTGGATCCAGACCTCAGGTAAAGGGTTTGGCTGAGCCTCAAAGACCCACTCCTCTCCCTCTATGTTAAATGAATGTAATCCAAACGAAATTGGGTTTTTGAGAAGCTGGTTGGCACTGAAGTGAGGACAGAGCCCAGCAGAGTGGGAGTGGACATGCCAGGTTCTCTCTCCACGTGCTCCCAGCAGCTTGTGCTTTTTAGCAGCAGCAGAGCAAGAAACACAGAGCTTAGTCACTTGGGTAAAGCAAGCAAACACACGCCTCCCCACAGTCCACTGCTGAGACAGAGCAAAGTACCTGAGCGTGTGTTTGATACACACAGTATAATGCAATGCAAGGCAGCTGAGGGCACCCAAACCCTTCCTGTGCCCTCTTCGCAGAGCCCTGGGGACTCTGGCAGAGCTCAGCACTTGGTCTGTGCACAGAGAACACAGAATGTCAGGCTGGACAGGGCTCTGAGCAACCCCTTCCAGAAGGTGTCCCTGCTCATTGCTGGGGGTTGGACTGAATGAGTTTTAAAAGTCCCTTCCCACCCAAACCGTGACTCCCTGGACACATGTCATGGCTCAGGGCAGAGCAGCCACCAGCAGTGATCACCCAGCAGGGCTCACAGCTGCCCAAAGAGGCTCCAGGACCAGTTCCCCTGGAAGATCCACCATGATCCAACCACATACTCCCCCTGGCGTTGCCCACCTTGTGCGAGTAGTGCTGATCCACGATCCTGGCCAGGCTGAAGTCACCGATCAAACGAGCTTTAGAGGTCCCTTCCCACCCAAACCGTGACCCCCTGGACGTGCGTCATGGCTCAGGGCAGAGCAGCCACCAGCAGTGATCACCCAGCAGGGCTCACAGCTGCACAAAGAGGCTCCAGGACCAGTTCCCCTGGAGGATCCACTACAGCCCAGCCACATCATCCCACAAGTGCTGCCCTCCTGCACCGGCCCAGCCCCGCGCTGCCCACCTTGTGCGAGTAGTGCTGATCCACGATCCTGGCCAGGCCGAAGTCGCCGATCTTCAGCACCAGGTCCTCGGTGCTGATGAAGATGTTGGCTGGCTTGAGGTCGCGGTGCAGCACGTTGGCCGAGTGGATGTACTTGAGCCCGCGCAGCAGCTGGTACATGAAGAGCTTGGCGTGCTCCTCGGCCAGCTTGCCCTGCTCCAGCAGCCGCGCCAGGTCCGTCTCCATGTACTCCTGCACGATGTACACCACGTTGAACTTGAAGAAGTCGCCGCGCAGGCAGGCGCCCTTGGGGCCCAGCACCTCGTAGACCTTGACGATGTTGTCGTGCTCGAGGCGGCGGATGATCTTGATCTCGCGGAAGGCGTGCTTCACGCTGCGCGCGTCGCCCAGCGTCAGCTTCTTGACGGCCACCTTGCGGCAGCTGCGGCTGTCCAGCGCCGACAGCACCAGCCCGTTGGCCCCGAAGCCCAGCGGGCGGAAGTTGACGAAGCGGCAGCCCAGGTCGTAGCCGTACATGCTGGCCAGGCAGTCGCACTTCTCGGCCATCGTGCTCCTCCCGCTCCTCCGCCCCTGTCACTGGAAAAGCCAGGAGTGCCCCAGGGGCTCCAGGTTGGAAACGCGGCGGTGGGAGATCAGGCGCCTCATGGTTACCCACTGCAGACTGGGGAGGGGGCTCGCCCTGAGCCCGGTGCTTCAGCACAACACAGGGTGGAAATAAACCTGAGAACAGAGAGAGAGAGAGAGAGAGAGAGAGAGAGAGAAAATAAAATGTTTTAAACAGGGTGAGAAGTCAATGGACTTTCCAGGGGGGTGAGAAATCAATGGACTTTCCAGGGGGGTGAGAAATCAATGGACTTTCCAAGCAGCGTAGAAAAGCGCAGCCCAGAGATGTCTATCAAAGCAGAAGGGCTTTTTTTCTTGAGATTAAAAAATTATCACTGCTACATTTTTCAGCCCCTGCCTCACTTCCCTTCCACGGCGTCCTGAGAGAGTGCTGAAGGGCAGGGCTGGTGGCACTGCCCTGTGTCCTCTGCTGTCCCAGCACCAGGACAGGCTGTGGGGCAAAGCCTGAGCACCCCACGGCCCTGCCCTGCCCCACACCTGCCTGTCCATGGGAAGAGAAGAGAAGAGAAGAGAAAAGAGAAGAGAAGAGAAGAGAAGAGAAGAGAAGAGAAGAGAAGAGAAGAGAAGAGAAGAGAAGAGAAGAGGATCCATTTGATGCCAGTGCTGCCCGTGCCTTGCCCACGTAACAGCTCGCTGAAGGCTGACCATGAGCGAAACCGTGACCTTTGAGAGGATCATCAGTTATCCCCTCCCAAGGCACGCAGCACCACCAGCATTTTTCAGCTGCTTAATTTTCCCTTTCCCATTTGTCAGACGCAGAGAGCTGTACCTTTCCCCCTTTGCCCCATTTTTTTTCTTTTAAAAGATTTTCTTGAAAACATTATGGAGCAATTTGCAGGGGCTGTACAGCATGTTGCATCAGTGACTGCCCAGGTAAAGCACACAGCAAAACCAGCAGAGAAACGAGGGTGCAGACCCTTCCTGGCAGGCAGCTGAGAGAGCCACGGAGCTTTCCAGGGTATAGCAACCAGAGTTATACCCTTTCCAGGGCATAACAACCAGAGCTGCTCAGGCAAAAAAGATTTTTGCAAAAAGCCTTCAGAAGTGTCCGTGAGGATGTGGCACCCCCTGAATTCGGGTCGCACAGCAAATGCTGGCAGCAGCCCCAGGATGCCATCCTGGGCTCTCTGAAATTACAGCTGAGCAGGTAAATATACATATTTACATATGAAGGACATAAAGTTTGTATTCTCCCCCACGAAGGCATTAAGAACCTGTAACTGGTGCGTGTGGACCCAAGAGGAGCTGAGTGAGCAGTGGCAGCAGGGTGAGCCATCTCCGGAGCCCAGATCCCAGACCCCCGAGCTCTAGGGAGCCCAGGCCCAGCTCCCAGAGCTCTCTGGAGCCCAGATCCCAAATTCCAGAGCTCTCTGGAGCTCAGATCCCAGATCCCAGATCCCAGAGCTCTCTGGAGCTCAGATCCCAGAGCTCTCTGGAGCCCAGGCCCAGCTCCCAGAGCTCTCTGGAGCCCAGGCCCAGCTCCCAGAGCTCTCTGGAGCCCAGGCCCAGATCCCAGAGCTCTCTGGAGCCCAGGCCCATCTCCCAGCTCCCAGAGCTCTCTGGAGCCCAGGCCCAGCTCCCAGCTCCCAGAGCTCTCTGCCCTTGGGCTGTGCCCACAGCTCCCTGAGCAGCCCCAGAGGAGTCTCTCTGGAGCTTCAGGGGCTCGGAAGGAGCTGCTGGCAGCTCGGAGGGGCAGAGCCTCGTCTCTGCGGGCAAACACCAACACTGCTGGGCCCAGGGTGTGCCCCAGCCAGAGGAGCCCAGTGCTGGGCATCTCCCTGACAAAGTGTCCTTGTCTGGCGGCAGGTGGCCGTGCAGAGGTGGCCATGGCCAAGGGACCATTTCTCACAGCTGCTCCAGCTGGGGAATGACAGCTCAAGGCCCTCAAAGCACTTCAGTTTCCCACTGTGGTTTTCACCTCATTTGGGAGCAGAACGGAACAAAAGGTCTGAAGCAGGAGGGAACAGCTGGGCTGATCCTCCCAGATATCGGCACAGGGTTCTCAGTGCACTCAGTCTCCCTGAGGCTGTTGGTGAGTCTAGAGCAGCAAGGACACCTCTCCTGCCCGAGCCTGGCCCCCATCCTGCCCCCAGACACCCCTGACCCCTTGATGCACTCCATTTTCACCCTTGTGCGACCCCCTGACGGTCCTTCCAGGCCAGGGGGACCTGTGAGACCACCCGGCTGCACAGGGGGCGTGACCTTGCACAGGGAGGTCCCAGGTTACCCGCTGGGCCCAGTGCTGCGCAGAGAAGTAACACTGAAATAAATAAAATATAGAATAAAATAAAATAAAATAAAAAATAACAATTAAAATGAAAAATTAGTATAAAATAATTTAAATGAAATAAAAATAAATTTTAAAAATTTATAAAGTAAATTAAAATAAAAAATAAAAAAATTATATAAAAAATTAAAATAACATAATTAAAATGAAATTATAAAATAAAATAAAAATAAAAATAAAAATAAAATAAATAAAGTAATAGTTAAAACAAAACAAATTAAAATAAGATAATTAAAATGAAATAATAAATCAAAATAAAATAAAATAAAATACAATAAAGTAAAAATTAAACAAAACCAAAACCAAAATAGAAATAAAAATAAAAAAATAATCATTAAAATGAAATAATAGTATAAAATAATAATTAAATTAAATTAAAATAAAATAAATAATGTAAATTAAACCAAAATAAATTAAAATAAGATAATAATGAAAATGAAATAGTAAAATAAAAAATTAAAACAAAATAAATAAAAATAAAATAATAATTAAAATTAAATAATAGTACAAAATAATAATTAAAATTAAATAAAGTAAAATAAAACAACTGTGGATCTGTTCACGTTGTGTTCTTCATGCCAGAACGATGTCTCTGATAGAGCCCCTGATCACCAGAGCTGCTCCATTGACCTGGCAGAGGGGTCATAGCCTGGGCCTGTGCCCTGTGCTCCCCAGGCAGCGCTGCTGGGACCCTCCTGCTCCCTGGCAGAAGTCACCAGGAACAACAAAATAGCAGGGAAAAGACTGAATAAAGAAATAGCAGGGGAAAGGTTGAAGGCTGAGCAATCACCCTTTGCTGAGGGTGGATGAGAACAGCGGCGCTGCAGGGCAGCAGCGCTGAGGGGATGAGGAGAGGGAGCCAGCTCGCAGCTGAAGCGACGGCACACCAGAGGGAGGATGTGGGCAGGGCAGGGATACCCTCCGAGAGCATCTGCCAGCAGCTACCGAGCCGCTTGGCAAGCGCTGCCTGCTCCTCCAGTCGGGAAACAGAAATAATTACAGCCTCTGTGCAACCCAGCAATTATCCAATGCTGGCTTTGGCACGCAAGGACCGAGCAGGGAGAGCTGCTGGCACTGTCAGGGAGCGGGGCAGGCACCAGAGAGGCAAACCAGGGGGCAGAACTGGGTGGGGAGACAGGGGAGGAAGGGAACAGGAACGCGGATAAATCCTGGGGCTCTGCAAGGAAGGAGCAGGAAGGTGCCCCAGCGTGGGGCCCCAGCTGTGAGGCCATGGAAAAGGAGCAGGTGCTGCTGAAGCCACTGGAGATGCTGGGGGCTCTGAGGACCACAGCAAGGCTCAAAGGCAGCCTAGGACCCGCTGAGCAATCGGGGGCTGCAGCAGCACTGGGGCTTTTCTCCTGGACTGCAGACCTGGGTCTCTGCAGAGCTCTCTGGGAGAGAGCCCTATGAGAAAAAAAACAAATAAAAGTAACCAAAACCAATGAAAGTAACCAAAATCTGCTGATGGCAAGGGGAACTATGTGAAATAGGGCTGGGATTGGTGTGCTTTAATATGGTGCCATGGTGGCTGTGAAAGCCATCTCAGCACCTCATGGTGGTACAACATCCAGCCCACAGCCCCAGCCCCAGCATCAAAACTCAGCCCCAGCCCCAAAACCCAGCCCCAGCCCTCAAACTCAGCCCCAGTCCCAAAACTCAGCCTGAGCCCCAAAACTCAGCCCCAGCCCCAAAACTCAGCCTGAGCCCCAAAACTCAGCCCCAGCCCCAAAACCCAGCCCCAGCCCCAAAACTCAGCCTGAGCCCCAAAACTCAGCCCCAGCCCCAAAACCCAGCCCCAGCCCCAAAACTCAGCCTGAGCCCCAAAACTCAGTCCCAGCCCCAAAACCCAGCCCCAGCCCCAAAACCCAGCTGCCTGCTCAGCTTTCTGCTACTCCAGGCTCATGGTGGTGGGACTGGATGGTCCTGGGGACCCTTCCCACCAAACCCTCCTGCTCAGCTCTCTGCCACTCAGTCTCATGGGAAGTGGGGCTGGGTGGTCCCGGGGACCCTTCCCAGCCAACTCTGCTCTGGTTCTGCCAGCAGAAAACCCCCGGGGTGCTGAGCCCAGGTGGGGCTGGGCAGGACCCAGGGCGAGCTCCCACGCCGAGCTCCTTGGCTCGCTGCAGACGCAGTGGAAAGAAACCAAGTTCTGCCTCGTCAGCCTAATTATTAATAATTAGTAGAGCTCTCGAAGCGCTGGAAGCAAAAACGCAACATATGAGGGGGAAAAAAGAGAAGAAAGAGCCCTGTTTTTCCTCACAAGAAGAGCGAGGGCCTTTGTGGTGCTCCGGGCTGTGCCTCATCCCCGAGCTGAGCCAGGATCCCACAAGAACCCATGGGATGGGAGAGAGGCAGGAAAAGGGAGGGGATCCTGCCCCTGTGCCCCTGGGCTCAGGTGAGAGCCCACCTGCAGAGCTGCCCCAGCCCTGGCTCCAGCAGCACAAGGAGCTGGAGCTGCTGCAGCCAGTGCAGAGGAGGCCACGGAGCTGCTGCCAGGGCTGGAGCCCCTCTGCTCTGGAGTCAGCCTGGCACAGCTGGGGCTGCTCAGCTGCACCAGAGAAGCTCCAGGGACACCTCAGAGCCCCTGCCAGGGCCTGCAGGGGCTCCAGGAGAGCTGCACAGCCCCTGGGGACAAGGCAGGCAGGGACAGCACCCAGGCAATGGCTCCCAGGGCCAGAGGGCAGGCACAGATTTTGGCACATTGGGAATTAGGAATTGCTGGCTGGCAGGGTGGGCAGGCCCTGGCCCAGGGTGCCCAGAGCAGCTGTGGCTGCCCCTGGATCCCTGGCAGTGCCCCAGGCCAGGCTGG